AGTTCAAGCATAATATAAATATCAATTATGTTTAAACCAATAACAGCTAAAATAAGTAAAATAAATTCCATAGTTTAGTTTATAATTAAAATAAAGTAACTTCTAATTTTAATTTTTGTTTATAAATAATATAATATAATATAATATAAACAAGGTAAAGAAAGAGAAGAACTAATTTTATAAATATTTTTAATAAATGTACAAGATAAATTTATTAAAATAAAATGTGTAGTCTAAATATAAATATTTCCCAGCCATACCACCCATATTATATATGATACATATAATATATAATTAAAATTTAAGATTAATTAGAAGAAATATAAGATATAAAATAAGTATAAATTATAGTTCTAAGAAATATTAAAGTATTAATGTAAATATATTATACATATTTTTATTAATCTTTATCGGAATCGAACCGATATTATTGATATGAAGAATCAATGTCATAACCGTTAGACCAAAAGATCATTTGTTTATATACCTATCTATATATACTTGTTTATAAAGGTAAATCCCTTAAATAATAGTGAATATTATCTTTAACTAAAGGTTTTTTACTTTTAACATATCTCATAATTGTAGGTCTGCTAACATTAAAGAATTGTGAAGCAATAGTCACAGATTCAAATTTAGTGATTAAATTATTATTAGAATCATAACTGTAAATTTTAACTGCATTATTTGATTTTCTAATTATTTTAGATTCTACAATTGAATCTTTATTTAAATTATTATTATCAATAATAGAATTATTTTTCTCAATAATAGAATTATTATTCTCAATAATAGAATTATTAATATTATTTTTATCATTTTCATTGTAAATAATAACATTATCAGAATTAATAGGTAATTTAATATTGTTATGATTGATAACATCATTAATATTATGATCGATGTTAATAATATTATCATAACTATTACTATTAATATTTTGTTGAGAAATATTTGGAGTATTATTGGATGTAATAATAGGATAATTAGTAATAATAACAGTTAATTTATTATCAAGAGTAATAGATTTATTTGATTTTAAATACCTTTGTAAAGTGGATCTAGGTATTTTAAGATTTAATGATGCTTGTTTTTGACTTAAATAAGAATCAATTAAATTATAATTTAAATCATAAACGTAAATTTTTTGTGCAGTTGTAGATGTTTTTAAATAAAGATCACGTTTATCTTCATAAGATAATTTCTGTTTTTCTTTATTTAAAGAAGCATTTTTAAATATAATTTTATATTCATTTAATTCTGCTTCAGAGAATAACATTTTATTTAATAAAACGAAATTTTCAGAATTAAAAGTGAAAATAGTATTTTTTTGTAAATATCTAGATATAGATATTCTACTAATATTGAAAAAGTTAGCTGCTTCACTTTGACTATTAAATTTATATCTTAATTTAAGATTAAATTCATTATCAATATTATAAGCATAATATATTATAGGAGTATTAGAATATACTTTATTTGTATTAATATTTAAATCTTCTGTTATTTTAGCTGTAGTAGAATTAATATTAATAGGATTTAATTTTTGAGTTTCTATAATAGTGTTAGATACTTGTGGATTATCTACACTATTATTAATAATACTTTTAACATTCATGGCATTTACTCCATATGGTTTATTTAAATCATAAATAGGTTTCATATTTAAAACTGTATTAATTAAATCATAAGGTAATTTATAATCAGTGTTATATCTATTTCTATTTTGATTTTTAACAAATTCAGTTAATAAATGATGACCTAATGGAGTATGATGTAAACCTTTAATGAAGATTTCAACAGATGTTTTTCACATAAAAAAATCAATATATTTACGAGAATGTCAAGTTAAAGAATTTAATTTAGGAATAATTATATAATATAAAAATTCTATACTTTTAGCTTCAATAGATTGAGCTTTTTTAGTTGTTTTATTAGTTATTTGAATAGAATCATTAATTCTTTCTAAAAGTTTAATTTTAACACTTTCAGGAATTTTATTTAATATTGTTTCATTTACTCAATTTGATAAAATAAATTTTCTAATTTCTATTAATGTTTGAATACTATCCTCATGTTGTGATATATTTAAAATAGCTAATTTATAATTTCTTGGATATTTGAAATGTTGATTATCTTCTTTAAGAGAATAGTCAATTCTAAAACTACCTTCAGCTTCAATGAATCCTAAAATATAATTATCATTAATAGCTTTATCAAATGGTATTGGAGGTAAATTAGAAAGATCAATATTTTGTAAATGATTAATAGTTTTACCTCTTATTCCTAATAATTTTTTATCTTTTGTTTTTAAAAATTCTAAAAATGCGTTTTTTCATAGGAAGAAACTATAGAATTTTTGTGTTGTAAGTGGATATAATTCTACTACAGGAATAATTTTATTAATTAAAATATCTTTATCTTCAATTGAAAATGATACACTAGGTGTATTTTTTCTAAAAGATAAATTAGATTTGCTTTCAAATAAATTTTTGATAAATTCAAGTGTTTGAGCATCATCTTTATGTAAATGATAATTTAATCTAATTTTTGCATATCCAGTTTTAGATATGGATATATTAAATGATCCATCACCATCTGTAAATCCAACAAATCATTGATAAGATTCGATGTATTTTGGGTTTAATTGTGGGTATTTCATTATTAATAATTTTTCAGCTTCTTTAGAAGGCAGATTATTATTAATAGCTTGTGAGAAATAAGATATTTTTGAGAAATATCTTTTAAAAGTTAACGGGCATAATAATAAAAGTGTTCTTGTCATTGTATTTTTAATTGTAAAAAAAGTTGTTATAATTTCCTCTTAGTTTAATATTATATAAATAAAACATGTATGATATTATTGTTCATCAATCCATGATAAGAATTCAGGCAAAGAAACAGCTTCGATCTTTATTGGCATTTGCGAATGATTTAAACCACAGATTTCTGAACAGGCCCCATAGTACACACCTTCTCGCTGAATTAAAGCTGAAGTTTGGTTTAAACGACCGGGTGATGCATCAACTTTAATACCTAACGATGGTACTGCAAAATCATGAATTACATCAGCTGCTGTTACAATAAATCTAATATGTGTATCAACAGGACATACAACAGATGCGTCAACATCTAATAAACGTAATTGACCATCTTCTAACATATCTTCAGGTATAATATATGATTCAAATTCAATTGTTTCTCCTTTATCGTTAATGAAATCTGAATATTCATATTTTCAATATCATTGTAATCCTATTACTTTAATTGTCATAGCTGGAGCAATAACTTCATCACAAATATATAATAAGATAAATGATGGGAATGCAATAATTAATAAAATAATTGCTGGGAATGATGTTCAAATAATTTCAATTAATTGTCCATGATTCATATATTTATAAACAATATTTGAATTGTTAAATTTAACAATAACGTTAAATAAAATATATGATACTAAACATAGGATAACAATTAAATAGAACATAATATTATTATGTAATTCAATAATACCTTCCATATTTGGAGTAGCTGAATCTTGGAAGAAGATTGATCATGGTGTAGGTACATCATTTAATAGAGTTTTATTTAAAAATAATAAATTCATTTTAGAGTATAATTCAAAAATATCGTGTTATATAATGTTCTTAATGTGCATAATTACGATTTGAACGTAAATCAGTAGCTCATGAGGCTACTATGTTACCAGTTACACTATCATGCAATATGTTTATAATAATATATTATTATTATTTATACGAATTGTGAGACTCGAACTCACATAATCTGCTTGGAAGGCAAAGTGTTTAACCAATTAACTTAAATTCGCATTTATTTATAGAATATGTTTTTATTTACGTTTATATATTATAAATATAATATTAACTTCCTCATCAATAGAATACAATATATAAGAATAATCAAATAATATCTAAAATATGTAAGTAAAGGATAGTAGTTTCTAAATTTAAATGATGAGTATTAGTGAAATGATAGAAATACATTCTAAAGTAACATACCATTAACATTAAAGCTAACATAACCATATGAATAAAGTGTAATCCAGTAGCAGCATAAAATACTGAACCATAAACACTATCAGCAATAGTAAATGTAGCAAAAGTATATTCTAATACTTGACATAAAACAAAAACTACAATTAATATAGTTGTTAATAATAAACCTAATAAAGTTCCTTTTCTATCTTTATATAAAATAGCATGATGAGCTCATGTAACTGATGCACCACTAGCTAATAAAATGATAGTATTTAATAAAGGTAATTCTGTAGGTTTAATAGATTGGATACCAGCAGGAGGTCATGAAGCACCTAATTCAATAGTAGGACTCATAGCTGAATGGAAGTAAGCTCAAAATAATGATGCAAAAATTAATATTTCAGATATTACAAATAATATAAATCCAATATTTAATCCTCTTCTAACAGCAATAGTATGATCTCCTAAATAAGTACCTTCAGTAACAATATCACGTGTTCATAAAAATATAGTAGCTAATACAAGTACTAATGATAATATTAATCAATATACATTTCCAATATAGTTATGCATTGTTAAACCTAATGTTAAAGCTAATGACATTAATGATAATGAAATTAATAAAGGTCATGGTGAAAATGTTACTAAATGAAATGGAAATAATTGAAAATTCTGTCTATTTTTAATTGTCATTTCGTTATAATTCTTTTAATGTTTTATATCTTTAATTATATTATTATATAGTGTTAAACCTTTAAAAAGGACATATATATAATTATATATAATATTTTCATATATTTTACCTTAAATATATTTATTAATCTTTATTAAGTATGTTATAATTAGGACTTGAACCTAAAATCTTTTGATTACAAAACAAACGCAATACCAATTATGCTATTATAACAAAAATAAAAAATTTGATAAAAATTTATAAAAAAGTTAACAATTTTTATTTAATCTTATTTATCGTCTATTAAAATTATTTAAAATATTTAAAGTATAGACGACATATAACGTGATATAAAAAAGTAATAAAATTTTAAAGGTATATACCTTTGATTTTTTATCAAATATTAAAAAAAATTAATATTTTAGTAATAATAAGTCTTAAAATTAAAATAAAATGTAAAAAATTAAACATAAAAAAATTAATAGAAGTATAATAAAAATTTAATATTAATTAGGCCATCATAACTATGGTAATATGAGGCTATAAATATGCTAGTCTAGCATAATATTAAAATATTTAGTTGTCTAGAATTTAATTTCACATTTGAAATGCATTCAATGCTTAAAATAAACTAATTTAACTTAACTGCATACTATTCATAATAAACAATATAGGTATTATACATATTATATATTACTATATAATATTAAAGTCTAAAAAGACTTATAAAATGAATAATAACAGTCCAATCATTGATTAATAATACCCAATCCTTTCGTACTAAGGTACATAATTCTATTAACTAGTCCTAAAGAAGATAGAAACCATACTGTCTTACGACGTATTAACAAATTATTAACAATTATTTTCATAATTGGTTAGACTATATCTTCAATTATTTCTTATTAAGTACTTTATTAATATATTCTTCCTCACTTATATTCCTTTTATTATCAATTATATTATATAATATTTTAATTATTTTCATAATTTTGATATTATTAGTTTTATAATCTTTGTTATTATCAATATACATTAATACATTCTTAATATATTTGAATTTATATCCTTTAATTAAAGGTAAGTTATTTTCAAATTTAGGTAATACATTATTTTTAATTTCATTTAAATTTGAAATAGATAATTTTATTGTTTTATTATTTAAATAATTTACTTCTCCATTACAATTAAAAAACTGTAATATATTATTTAATAATTTAATTTCTGTATTATCTTGTGTTATTGAATAAATAACTTTTAAATCCTTATTTGAATCTAAGTTTACTTTTAATGAACCTGAAGTATCAAATATACCATTGATATAATCAATATTAATATCTGAAGGTTTATAATTATCTAAATTATAATTTAATTGATTAATATATTTACTGATTGAATCATCAATAATTTTATTATTTACAATAAATTGATGTTCTTTTTTTAAATATTTATTATTTAGTTTTGAAATATTATTAGATAATATTATTAATGATAATAAAATATTAATATTATTTTGATGTAAATTTAATGCCATAATTTCTAAAATAGTATTTAATAAAATAACTTTTTTATGTTTATAACTTTTTAAATCATATTTTAATAAAAATGGTATAATTACATCTTTAAGTTGATTTAATTGATTTACTTCATATTTAATTGTTTTATTATTATATTTAATAAAACCTACATTATTAAATAATGTTTTAATATTTAAAATTAAGTCTTTATGTTTACTATTTAATATTATATTAAAATAAGGTATTAATAGTAAAGATTTTTTAGTTTTACGTAATTTAATTCCAATTATACCATTTGTTTGAATAATTCCACAAATGTAAAATTTAAAAGTATTATTATTGATAAATGACATAATATAATGATAAAAAGTTTAAATAAAAAATAAACTTAAGTAAAAGTAATAAAATGCCACAATTAGATAATAAAGAATAATTAATAAGGAAATAAGAAATAATGCTGACGTTATTATTTAATATATATGTTATATTAAATCTAATATAGTATTAGCTATATTAAGTCGTTACGGGATTTATAATATATAAATTTCCCACGGTATTAGCAATATTATTTAAAATAACTTAGCCTTCACCGTTTTCAGTCAGTTTTCGATATTTTTCACAAAATAAAGGGGCTTAATACATTAACCCAACTCACGTAACCTTTTAATTGACGAACAGTCAAACCCTTATTAGCTTCTACGACCAATAGGATAGGTTGAGTCGACCATATTATTATGTTATCATTAAATCATTTAAATTTAATATCAATAATTTTCATTATTGTTCAGACTATGTCATAAATTTTATATTTTGTATTATATATTTTATATAAAATTTTTGGGCGCTCATGGTTAGATTATTGTTATACTACTCACTAACTAGTCGTTGAACGTTTATTATCCTTTTTTAATTAATTAAATGTATAGATAATACTTCGCTGCAAATTATCATAGTATAATAAAAATACCTTAGACTTTTTTGCAATTCACCCAATTTATACTCGACATCGACTAACTTATCGAGGTCACGAACAACGCTGACAATATCTACTCTCTCGCGTTACCATGCTGTTATCCCTAGCGTAGCTTTTAT